ATTTCAAATAAAAGATTGGGATTAAGCATCAGATTTCACATGAAATTTAGAATATACTCTGAATGTCACGTTTTCCAATAATTCAGTTACATCTTGAGAGGGGCCTTACAAACAATGTCTCAAAGTTAAAGACCCACCAATTTGGAACATACATAAAAATCACAGACCTCTTGGTAAAATTCCACATTTTTCAGCTGGTTTTATGCTTTGGAGGCCTCAAAATGCCTTATGATTTTTCTTATGTTCGGGTTTTTTATTTTTAAATTTGTTCTATTGCAGCAATATAGAAAGATCCGAGAAAAAAATATTAGTAACTGAAGCCAGAAACCCAGTGCACTCAAGTTTCAGAGGACAAAGTTCTTACAGTCCTCACACATAAAATATAAAATACAATGATCCATGCCTATGATCTATAAAACACAGTTGAGTTCCTTGGGTCAGTCTACTGAACACTCTCCCATACCTACAAGACTTCCAGGGAACTGTGAGCATGAGGCATGTCTCAGGTAAATCTCATTCCTCTATTAAAAAATCTAAACACAGGTACAGTAGAATACTTGGGATGATGAGAAAAACAATGGTTGGTAAATTCACTGTCACGACAAAAGCTGATGTTCCTTAAGTGAATTAATCAGAGTAACAGATTGAGAACAAAATTAGTACAGAAGAAACAATTATTTCCCTCCATGTAACTTTCAAATTGACTTTTAGCTTAAATACCTTATTAGCAGCAACCAAATTAGTATCTGACTCAAATGAAGATCCATTATTTAGAATCCACTACAGTAGTACGTGATCTGGGAGCAAATTAACAGCTATTCATTTGTAACTTCTAACTTAATCTGTGTTGACTTCAAAGAGGACAGGAACTCCTAGATTCATCCATGCTACTTGTATCATAACTCCTTAACATTATTGCTAAATATGTATTAGTGTGCTCCTTTCCCCCCAACCCGTGTGAGTTCAGGGTGAAACATCTGTAAACAAAAACCCCCAAAACAAATCCTCATGGTCAAGCCAGCAGAAACACCCTTGAAAATTACCCATCTCTCTTTCCTGCCTCAAATCCAACCCCACTGCTCTTCCTACAAGAAATTCCTTGCTTCAATGCTGTCCTAGCTGCTGTAGGGTACAGGTTATCCATGCTGCTGGCCATGTGGATGGAAACACTGTACTTGTGGTCTTCCCCTCACAGAAATATGAACAAAGTGCTAAATCACTACATAACCTAGAAAGTTAGTCCCAATTTCAGATACCTGGAATTGCTTGGATGATAATGTGTGGCATGGAACTGTTTAAGCTGCTCCCATGTAAGATCAGGAATACATAATGGATCTCCACCAGATATTACACCATAAGTGTGATCAGGAAGGATTTTGTTTTGCACATGCTGTGCAAATATCCTCTCATTATCTGTCTTAAGAGGAAAACACCACATTTCAGTGAAAGTCATCAAAACACATTTTAAAGATAAAAGGTGCTCAATAATAAGGCCTCAGAGTTCCAACTTACTCAAGAACCCCCTCCTCACGTAAGCATTTAGTTCTGCAGTCCCACATACTTTAATAAAACGTTATCACGTGAATGTAAGAGAAAATTCTACAATGAAATACATCAACAAGGTGCTGTTTTATATGTAAAAAAACCTTTGACAGGCTAACTTAAAAAAAAAAACACACCCATCCAACAGACTGTTGACTTTAGTAAATTTGCAAGAGGAATGAGAATCTCTGGTGCAATAATGCAACACGTGTAAGATCTTAAACCAAACATTCACAAAACTTACAAATGCCCCTTTCATTTCATTAAAAACAACTCCTTTGAAGACTAGAGGTGTCTGAGGATCAGCTGGGTTCTCATGTTCTAACCTCCAACCTTCTTGCCTGAAAAATTAATAACAGAAGTGTCAGGAGTTTGAAGGTTTTGAGATTTTTGGGGGCTCTTTTTTTACTTTAAGGTTTGCACCTTAAAGCGCAGTCTCAAGGTGTCTTACCAGAAATCTAATTGCCGTAGACATGGAAAGAATGCTGCATCCAAGTACACAGACAGGAGATTCTGAAAGTCCTTGGGATTTTGTGTTGAAAATGGGTAGAGTGTGTAATCACTAGCTGCATATAAATAAACATAAAAAAGATCAGCATTTTAGAAAGTCTAAGATGCATTTTGTCATCATTTATTTTTCACTTTTCATCCATATAAGTAACTGGAAGAAACTTACTACATGAAATGTATTTTTGCTGAGGAATACATGGACTTTTAAAATTGCAGCTATTTTACCACAAGAGCTTTGCTTTAGCCATAGATACATATCAAGAATTAAATGTATGCTGTATACTACAAAGCTCCAGCTCTGCTGGGACTTTGTAACTGCCAAATGAACAAGATCTATTTTGTTGTCTTGCCTTGTTAGTTTTTCAATATCTCACTCAAAACATTCACACCTAATAAAAACAGCTCCCTAAAGTGAAATTAAGGAGAGCCAACAGACAGCCGTAATGCAATAAAACCTCATGCATTTTAAGTGCCGTTATTTACTTTTGGCTTACCTGTGAATGCATTCATAAAAGTGGACAGTGACCTGTTTAACATTTTAAAGAATGGATCTCTGCAAGGATACTTCTGAGAACCACATAACACCGTGTGCTCAAGAATATGTGGGACCCCAGTGCTGTCCATTGGAGTGGTTCGGAATTGTATGCTGCAAGACAGAGAGCACAGAATGGAATGCACTCATTTGTGAGGAGAAGTCCACCCAACTCCTGCCTACAGCTCTGATTTATGGGAACATCATCACTGGCTGATAGCTAGTGTGACACACATCAGGATGCAGAGTTATTGAGTTCTTCAGACTCTTGAGTGCTCAGCCACCTCTTTCAGAGGGTGTATAACCTCTGCACTTCTATTTCTGGAGGTAGTACAGAAGCCCTTAGCTCACGAGTAAACACATTTCTTTTTACCGAAAAGGCTCAGAAAAAAAAAGGCAACTTTGTGGAAGGTTACGGTTGCATTATTTCTGCCTTTGGAAGTTTTCAAAGCCCACCCGCATAAATGTCTGAGGAACTGCACCTGAATTAAGTACGACTGTTTTGAGCAGCAGACTTCATGACATCTGTTCCAATCTGAAAAACTCTAAGATGACCCACAAACTAAGTACTACCCTCTCCGTTTCTACAGAAAAATACAGTCATGAAGTTAGATTACAATTCAAAAGCCACAGGGTGATGCTGAGGTTGAATGTGTTATACATATATTAATGTTTACCTGAACAGATTATTGGAGTCCTCCCGAGCCACATGTAAATACCTGGCTCCTGTACCATCATGACTAAGCTTCACTGCAGTCAGGAACAGCTCAGGAACAGCTGTCACCTGCATTGGAACAAAACATTTGTATTGCAGTGTGACTGAAACTGAGTCAAATAGATCATGGATGATATAGGAATGTTCAGTTTATTGATCCTGTATATAATATTGTCTTATACAAAATTAAATAAATTTTTGTTTCTATGGTTTGATGGGAAAAAGGAATTATACAAATGGAAAATAAAATTAATAACCCCATTAAAGTAAACTACAACCAAAGAACTGTACTCTTATGGTATAGACAGAAATTCAATCAGAAATACAAAGAAAATGCATATATTCAAATGTCAGTGGCTAGGGCAGTAAAAGAAAAACCAAGGAACCCTATTCTACCACTAGCTCTGTCACTAGGAATCACTTCTCGAAAATAACCTTCACTTTCTGCTTTTTTTTCAAAAAAGTGAAAAGAAATTCAGCATATTATTTCCCTCCCAGGTTCTCAACAAAGGTGTTAAAAGCAGCTTAGAAGAGAAAATATTGCTTGAATGTGTTTCATAAAACAGCACACAGTGAAGTTCAGCTATCAGTCAGGACTTTTAGTAGGCCACACCGAATGGTCGCAGCTCCAGCAGACACACAAGCTCCCGGGGTGCATTATTTACGCTAGAATTATCTCCCTTTAGGAAAATGTGTTAATGGCACCTAAAGAATTTGACTGCAGAAAGGTAGCTACAAGTAACTCCTGCATCATTTTTCTGACTGACCACCCACAGCATCCTCGTAAGTCTTTAGTGTGCAGTGGCCTCACGCAGGTGGATTCCAGCCACGGGGAAGCTGATGTATACAAACACAGAGGAACCACAAGCGGCGGGGAACGCTCACCTGCTCCACCGTGAATCCGTGGATGTGCTCGCCCACTCTGTACTCCAGCGCCCTCTCATTCGCGGGAACGCTCTTCCATCTCCACGACTTCCGACTCAGGGACCTGAAACAACACAGTTCCCTTTAAACAAACGCGCTACAGCCGCGAGCGGCACCGTCCCTCACGTCCGGGGTCCCGCCGGCCTCCAGCGAGGCGCTGCCCGTCCCGGGGCCGAGCGGGGCCCGGGGCAGCGCAGGGCGGGCGTTCCCCGCGCGGTGCCGGGCACGGGGCCCCCGCTGCCCCCGCTCCCTCACCGGCCGCGGCCCAGCAGCCCCCGGCAGCGGCTCCACATGGCTGCGGGCACGGGCGGCGGGACCGACAGGCCGAGCCGCACAGCCCGGCACAGCACAACCCGGCACAGCGCAGCACAACCCGGACCGGCGCAGGCGCCGCCGCCCCGCCCGCATTGGCGGCCCCGGGAGCTCCGCCCGCCCTACCCGGGCGGGGCCGTGCCAGGTCCTCGCCGGTCCGACACGGAGGGGCCCAAGGTGGGGGTGGCGTTTTAGAGGGGTGTATTTGCCGTTTTGGTGAGGATTGGCATTGGGTAGGAGGAATAATCTCTTGGAAATGTCTTTGCCTTGTTCAGGTAGTTCTCAGGAAAATCGAAAGTGCCGTTGGTTGTGAAAGGAGAGACCTTTGAGCAGTGCGTGTTGTTTGCTTTTCCTAATTTAAAAACAAACAAAACAAAACAAAACAGCACAATACTCGAGATCAGTGTGTTCCAAGGGCCCCATCTCTCTCCTGCCCTTGTGTTGCCAGTGCATCGATATGTTCCTGCAAAGACTTGGTGAGGAAATGGGCAAAGTCGGCAGCAGTAAGTTGGGAACTAAACCTGGCTGTAGCAGAGTCACAGAATCGGCCAAGTTGGAAAAGACCTGTGAGATCATTGAGTCCAATCGTGGGGCTGTGCCTGTGTGTGCAGAGCCCCGTCAGCCACACAAGGTCCCGCACAGGGACCCGCACAGTCCAAGTAAGCTCAGAGACATCAATGCTCTTCTCCCAGTGGATGTAAGAGGGATCTCAGTGAAGCTTTGCAGGATGTCGTCGTACCAGACAGGAAAGTGCTTGTACATGGCTAGGCTTTTATTCCTCCTGTTTTGCAAATGAATAGGATTTTGAGGCAGTAACTTGAAATTTGATTTCACATCGCACGTTCGTGAGGTTGCCCAGAAGGACAGGGCCTGTGAAGTGCGGCCACCAAATTACCAATCCCTCGTTCCTGAAGAACCCCTAAGAGCCCCGTTATCTATATGGACATAAGAAGCCTGATGCCAAAAGAGACTACGTGGGATTTTAAACAAAATCATAGTAAATGACAGGTTCTCAGCAAGTCTCATGCCTCTTGTCCTCAATTCTTTGGCTCTGATGTTAACTAAAAAAAATTGGAATGTAAGGCATCCTGGGAATTTTTGTCTCCACCATCTTTGACCTTTTTCTCCCCTTCTCTGTCTGGCATGCAGTTGCCTTCCTCCTGCTGCCGCTGCAATCAGTCCCATTAGGGATTTTGTCACCTTCACTGCCCTCCTGCCCTCCCTGTCCCTGCTGCTGGGCTCACTGCCCTACGGCACATCTGCCACCTCCCTGCCAACCACATGGCTCCGGATTGCTCCAGCACCCTTCATTTTCTCCGGTTGCCTCATTTGTGTGTTCCATGTAATTTTCCCATTTCATTACTTTTTAAATTGAATTTAAAAAAAAGCCAATAACTTGATGTAGTTAAAGTCTAGATGTTGTGCATTAACCCATATAACCTGTCATCTATTTTCATTACATATCTTTCTCATTCTTTTTTAAGGCTAGTGAAAAGATCCAGTAACTCGTGTAAAGCTTAGATCCTGGGTACTAGCGAATGCAATTTGTTTGCTCCCTATTTTTGTTATACCTGCTTTCCTCCCTGCCTTCCACCATTTCACCTCCTCTGTTTGTCCTTTTTTTCTGTATTTGTTTCAGATTAGGTCCAAGTCATACCACTTTGATAGGAGCTGCTTCCAGTATGTTTGTTTTCAGTATATGCTTCCAGAAACTACGTTTATAACACAGTGAGGAACCACTCATGGTTCTTCTATATTTTCTCAAGCTAAAAATAAACCATGCCATAAACATACAATGAACAATGTTCTCCAGAGAGTAAACATATTAAACAAAGTGTTTCTGAGCATTATGTAGAACCATGAGTTTACACCGCATGGTTCAATTTTCAAATATTTCTAAATGTTTTCATATGCTTATGGTTTATTATTAGTCACAAGGTTAACTTGCAGCAATTTTTATATTAAAGGCTATACTGCTGTTTCTGTTGATTTTTCAGTTCCATAGTTTTACTAAGAGTTTCCTAATCTGACCATAAGCTTCTGTCTCTTTTTACAGATTTCTTGTCATCAATATTTAGTTTGCTTCATGGTTTATAACATTCATCTTAATAGAACATCAGGCTGGCGTTCTGCTGCAAACATTTATTTATTTTTAGTTGATGTTTATATTGGAAGGATGATTTTCTGGCTGTCTGTTTTCATATCAGTGACATAGCTTTTGACAGGCAACCTTTCACAAACTTAACCAATCTGAGCAGGCAGTGTTTCAAAATACATCAAACATCATTCCTAAACTTAATCACAAGATGGAAGTCTTTTATACTATACCTTGGCCAATTTTAAAATATTATTTTCCTTCTGCTATTGTTTTTGATGTGTTTTGTACATCAAAGCTTTTCTTCTGTGAAACAGAACAGAAGCTGATTTGGTACACTACTTTTTTTTTTCATTTTCCTGTTTTGTAAGATTTCTGCATAACAGATATAAAATTATCTTGGTTGACTTGTCTTGATAAATGACATAAAACCATTTGGATTACCACGACCAGATTTTGCTTTCAGTTATTTAGCAACAAATTCTATGTAACTGCAATTGCTTCAAGTGAGCTTTTCCAATGGTGAAAATGAAATGACAATTTCATTCTCACCATTTGAATAAAGAGATATTTTTACTTAGTGTTTTCCTTGAAAAGATTTTGTTTTCAATCACAAGTTTATTTAATTAGATATTTGGTCTAAGGAGTCCTGTGCCCGCACAAGCTGTTTCTTTCAAAAAAATCAGCTGAACTTGTTCAAGAATTGGAATGCTATTTTGTGTTTAACTAAGCAGTTCAATTCTTTATCCTGTGCAGCAGAGGTTGGTCCCTGCCACTTGATAAGACAGACTTGACAAGTGTGTCTTATCTTCATGGACAATAAGGCCCAAATTTTGCCAAGTTAAAATCTCTGAAAAATACTTGGTAGATGCTTGTTACAGCAGGAAAACTATATTTGCTATGGTGTCTCCTACTAAGCATGGTTGGATCTTAACATCTCTCCCTGCATAGGACGTAAACTGTCTCCACCTTTCTTCTAGGATTTTCTCAGGGCTAAAGTTAATAAAATTATTTCCTCTGTGGCTGCTTCACCCTCCCATGCATGAACCCTCCCATGTCAGTGGACAAAGTAATGAAGAGACTTCCTGCCAGCCCTTTTCTGAGGGCCGTGAGTAAAGGCTCTATGAAGGGAGTTCACAACAACAGTGTGGCAGCTGGTGAGGTGAGAAAAATGAACTTAAATATCCCAGATACCTGCCCTCCAATCACCACTGATCCTCTTCCTGAGAAAGGGTCTGGTAAGAATAGGTCTTTGAGAGGACAAGAGCACAACCCCAGCTTCAGCTGTATCTTGAGCAACACTGTACCCTTTGCTTATGTATCAATTTTATTTTCAAAATTTATCATAGAATCATAGAACAGTTTGGTTTGGAAGGGACTTTAAAGATCTTCTTGTTCCAACCTCCCACCTGACCATGTTGCTCAAAGACCCATCCAACCAGGTCTTGAACTGCCAGAGATGGGGCGTTCACAGCTTCAGTGGACAACCTGTGCCTCACTACCCTCAGAATAAAGAACTTTTTCCTAATATCTAAACTAGCCCTCTTTCAATTTAAGGCCATTACTCCTTGTCCCATCCCTACATGCCTTTGTAAAAAGTCCCTCTCCAGCTTTCTCATAGGCTCCCTTTGGGAATGTTCATTCCTATCTTTAAGTGTATTCCCTTCAATAACAAAACATCAGCAAGCCAAGGATTCTGCATCGCATTTGTCAGACAACATTCAGTGTTGTTGTAAAATACTGAAATCAGTATTTTACAAAGCCACATGGAGAGAAACGTTCCCCAGTCCTCAGCACATCTTCTCACTTACCCTGTCCATGTTTTTTTCCAGACAAGATTGCAAGTAAGAGGCAGAAGCTGATGGTTGCACTGCTGACACTTTTCTGCTTCTTTCCTAACTTTACAAGTGTCTGTTGAGCCTGAAACTTAGGAGATGGGTTTATTCCAGGGGCTGTCTGCCTGCTAGCAACCTCCTGTGACATTTGGAAGATTATGAAATGAATACACAGTAGTGTGAAAGAGAGGGGAATGTTCCCCACAAAGCCTCAAAGGTTTTACAACAGTAAACAGAATGAAATCCAAGCACAATGTTTAGGGTGGTGATTTTCAGACAATTTATTTCAAGAGATCCCACGAGGTGGAAATAGGCTCGGGCTATGTGACCCCATGCAGGACTGCAGCTGGCATGTACAGACCGTGCTTTGTACTGTCCTGTCAGAGAACAAGATACCTCCCATTGCCCCAGTGCCAGGAGCTGTTTTGTTCCCAAACAAAGATTTTAGAGGAAAGAAAAAGGAAATTCATGTGGCTTGCTAAAAGCCTGGGTGATATAATGTATCAGAAGTGCTTCTGTGTTTTAGGATGATCTTAAGCAGACCAAAAGACCTGTTTACAGTCAAGATGAAAATCTTACTTGAGTGTTTACATTTCAAATAATTTTACTACCTTCTTTAAAAATCTTAAAATATTAATATTTTGATTGCTTCTTCTGTTAACAAATAGTGTGACAATGAGGAATTTAGGGACAGAAAGGTAAAGGAGAAATAAGTGTTGGGTCAAGTTTGACACAAGTTATGTAATAATAATAATAATGGCCAGTCTTCGCGAACGAAGATTTTGGGAAAGGTCTTTTACCTTTCAAGCCTGCGCAATGGATTTTTTAGGTGAGACACAGCATGCGCTGTACTGAGCCCACCCTTTAATCCTAAGGTTCATCTGCCGGGGCCAAGCAAGCTTGGACAATGGCAGTGAGGTCCTCAGGACATAGGTTTGTTTAGAGTGACCTTCTCATAGATGGATGGCCTCACAGGGCTAACGGGCTCCATCTGCCCGGGGGACTGGGAATTGAATCTGGGTCGCAGCAGTGAGAGGCCTGCATGCTAACCACTAGGCCACCAGGGGTCCAAATTATGTGGTCCTGTAATATTAATTATATTAATTAATTAATTAATATTAATTAAAA